AATGATCGATGCAATCAACTGGTTTTCCTTAGATAGAAAACTTTGAATCAATTTGACTGGATGATCTGGGGAAATGTGCCTTGAGATGACATTTGTTGTGAATTGGCGCTATATAAATAAACTGAATTGAATTGTATCTCAGATATACCTTTATAAATAACTGTTTTTTTAAACATCCAATATGTTTTGTTATTAATGCACACAGATAAGTGACAACCACTAAATTACTTGATTATGGATCTCATCTTTCTATTATGATTCTCCCCTTTTGGGACTCTGAGTTTTTAGTTTTCGGTTACTCTGTTTTGTTGATATTGGGTTTATTTTCCATTACATCCAAGCAGTCTTAAGTTACTCTCTGTTGCCCCCTTGTGCCTGTCTCCTTTCCCCTAACTCCCTTCTAGTCTCTTCCATCCACACCTGCTCCATATCCGTTTCCTACCCCAGCTTTTGTTCTGTTTACCATATATACTCTCCCTGTGCAGTTCTTCAGTGCTGGTTCCTTGTTGTTTAGTGCTTCCTTGTCTCTGGATCCACACGTCAGTTTTCCCTGATGATAGCTGGTTTTTGATTCTCAGTATTTTTGGATGTTTGCCTCAGTTTCTCTTCATTAAACCTACAAGAACTCATCTCTGCATTTGGGTCCTCAACCAACCTCCAACAAAGCGTTGACAATTTCTATTTCTTATACATGTTTGGGAAGTAATGTGGGATAAGCATATATACTATAGATGTTTATTCTTTCAGTTCTTTTTTTATTGAATCAGTTAAGGAAAGACAGTTTAGTTGACATCTTCCTGGACACATTAATGCTAAAGCTTTTTTGTTATTTCAAGTGGGCGGATAGCAAGTACATTCCCTTCTTGGTTTTCAGTTTGTTTTAGTAAATCTGCCACTCAGAAACCAAACAAATATATATTTAAGTCTGGAAAACTCACTTAAGACCAGGGATATCCAACAGATTAGTAAGTCCAGTCCAGTTGATGTCCAGTTTCTAAAAGTAGCATTCAGATTAGAAAAGTGTGAGGAAGTTTGAATAAATGTTTTATTTAGATATGAAAGCAGGGAAAATTAAAAACACTCACAGGCCTGCGAATAAAGAACATGGTAATGGCTCCGACAAGCGGCATATCTCCGATCAAAGGCTCCAGGATCACACGCAGCTTCCCATTGAGCTACAGGAGAAAGTTCAACTAAGAGCTGGCTCTAAAAGTTTTTCCATTATAATAATAATTTTAAAAAGTGTTGTACCTGGACTCCTTTCACGCCGGCTTTGCAGAAATACTTCTTGATTTCAACATTTATCTCCACATCACCAGCGTAGCTGTAACACAAAAGAGGTAGAAAATCTCAAGATAAATGTTGAACCAAGAGAAGCAGCCCACTGGTGTGATGATAGAGCTGTTTTCCTTTGTGCTGAGTAAATACAGGTCTGCTGTTGATAACAAATGTTTCTCGGTAGTAAAGAGGTTTTGGGTCTTAGCAACAAAACCTGGAGCCGTACTTTAAACAACAGCTTAAAAAATGTGTCGCGTTACCTGAGGTACAAATCCAACATGACTTGTCTTTTATCCTGTTCCGTGTGTGCCTTTATACCGACCAGCTTCAGCGCCTGTGAACACAACAGCTGCCTTTACATGAAGCTCAACTACAAGACCTTTTTATAGAGAAAATTATTCATTTTAGTTTACTCATTTAACCTTAGATGAACCAAAAAAAACTAAATCTGCTATTGGTTAATGAATTTCTAGCCTGTGTGGGTCCAACATTTTAAATGAAACTTCTGATACATTCAAATTAATTATATTTTTATATATAAATAAATTTGTAGAAACCTTTAGAAAAAGCTGGTGAAGACCTTTTGCACAAAGTGATATAACATTTGCCTTTAAAACTATGTAAGAGAGCTCATTTTTCTATGTGTATATGCAGCTAATTCTGAATAATGTCCCCGGCAGCTCCTGTCTCCATCCATTCATAAAAAAGATTCTAATTATAGTATCTATGCCGTGCCATTGGGTGGCAATGTAATATTTGCAGTCTTACACCAAAAACAAAGGTGTGGAAAATGTGGTTAAAGTTTGAATTGATTTCTCTGGATTTTCCAAAGTCAGAGTCAGAAATGCAAAAATAACATCCCAAAAATTCAGGATTATAACTCAAAACATCAGATATGACCAAATATTGTCAAATTCAGAGTAATATATCTGTTGCACATTTACAATAAGCTTTAATTAAAACTATTTAAAATCTTAACATTTCTGATAATTTGGAAACTAAGGGGTTTGCACTGTAGGCACGTTCCATATTGTGGTCTGGTTAGAGATACAGATTCAGCACTATAACTTGCCTTTTCTCCCAGGTTGACCTTAGTGAAGCTGAGGGTCTGCAGATGAATGTTGGAAGCTCGGATGGCGGGAGCGATGGTTCCCACCAGAAGCTTCTCCAGGTACTGGCCAACAAAGGGCCAGGCCTGCTGCAGGATCTGCATAACAGAAACGTGTGAAAAACCAGTCTACAGAATAACAATGTCACGAAATAAATGAATGCAACCACAAGACACATTTCTTCATTTATTAAATTATTGTTGCTATAATTCCTCATAGCATCATTACTGAATCCTTTATATCCTTACACAATGACATCATAGTCCTTTCCTGTAAACTATTCCCTCCAGTGACAGATGCCAGACCTTATGTTTACAGAAATTATCTCTTGGGTGACACATGGGGGAAGCCTGCAGCAGTTCATCAAACTGGCTGAAAAATAAGTCCCATCATCTATCTGTCCTACAAGCAGACTGCTGCAGACTCCATTACAAGTTCCCCTCTAAATCAGCGCTCTGTCCTTAGTATTCATACTCATCCTTGCCCTGTGCTAATGCGAAGTGACTTCACTGACAGAGACAAAGAAGTTGTGATATTATCTGAACACTCTTCCTGCCTCTTAATTACACTCTTGGATCAGACAGAGAAGCTGCAGCAGCAGCAGCAGCAGCAGCAGCAGCAGCAGCAGCAGCAGCAGCAGCAGCAGCAGCAGCAGCAGGGTCAATTATGGTCCACCTTTGTGTGCTTGTTAATAAATGGGAGACCTTACTGCTGCTGCTGTTAGGAGTTATTCAAGTATACCAGGAAAGCTTCCTGAATGGATAGAGAATGCACAGATGGGTACTAGCAAATCAGACAAAGGAAGAGAACATACCTTATTCAGCCACTCCACTTTTTCCACATCTGGGAAATTGATCTGTTGATGAAAAGCAGTAAAAAATGAAGTAAAATATAAAGCCTCTGAGAGGCAATCACAAACCCTAAACATGTTTATGTTTAGTTAAACTGAAAACACAAATGTTTATGTGTTTCAGACTGGTTTTATCTGCTAGGCCGACACAAAGTAGAGCAACGTGGAAGAAAACGATAGACGGTTCACAAACTGTTAGCAATCTCAAAGCGTTTGGTTTTATTCCCCATCAGTCAATATTTAGTCAAACCGTCTTACAGATGTCTTTTCTCTAGCTTTGCACATTTAAAAAATAAACAAACAGCCAAACGTTCTGAATGCACACCATCTGTAAACTCCAAGTTCCTAATTAGGTTTCAGTCTTTGATCCCAGGTCTGCTCAAGATTTCAGGGCTTTGTCCATCTTTACAGCGTTTTGCCTCCATTCATCTCCCTATCAAACAGATTCCCCCTCAATGCTGAAGAAAAACACAGCACAATGCTGCCACCACCGTGTTTCCCTCTCGGCATTGTGTGTGGAGTGATGTGAAATAGACTTTTTTTAATTAAAACTTGGAAATGTGTGCAGTATATACACAAGGTCTCCTTTGTGTCCTTAAATATAAAATATATTCATGTTTTTATAGTAACTGAAAAACACAAAGACAATAAACTAGAATCTTATTAACCATTAAATTATGAGATTGAATGATTGCAAGTTATTTCAAATAATTAACCAGTTGCTTTGCATGCATTTCATTCAAAGAGTACATAACTGAGAATTCTCAGGAAACCAATCGACCATAAAGATCTTATCATAAACGATCAAAGCTGTCAAAAAAAAAAGAAAAACATCATTGCATGCTTGTGCTGATCTTGTCGTTGGGGCCAAGAGAGGTCAAAAACTGGTGCAAAGACAGAAAATAAAAACCCCTCAAAGAATCTCAATGGACAAAAATACAAAAAATAAATGTACGGTTCATGTATTTGTTCAATGCAAATTAATTTGCACGCATAAACCAGTAATAAAGAAAGACTGTAGATTGACTCGCCACACAGAGGCATGCAGGGGGGTCCTCTTACCCATGGAGGTAGATCCCTCCTGGATCTAAAATGCTTCTGGATGGTGAACTCCTTCTCGTTCTCCTGGAGGTACATAGTAGACTTGAGACGCATCTCCTTCTCCAGCCGGCTGTGTTTGTATCCCATGTAGATCATCAGCCCAAGCAGAACCAAGCTTATGCTGAAACCGTAATACCCAGCCAGGTAGACGGGGAGGAGAGCAGCGAGGCATTTTCCATACGACCACAGCGCACTGACTGCGCCCTCAGCGGGGGTCTGGCTCGGTGAGGCCGGGGCTGCTGCTGCTGGAGCCGGGCCGCTGCTCATGTCCGGGTCTGCATCTGCGGTGTGCATGCTGAGATCCGGATGTTTTCACCCTAAATGCTCACTCGGCCTTGGCTTCTTTTAACTTAACAGAGGCTCCAGCGCGCAGCGACGCAGTTTAATTACAGAAAGCATAGAGACCCGACTGCGGACCGGAGACGATCTCTGCTCTGCTTCTGCTCCGCTGGGCTCAGGCGTGAAATAATCATTTTTGTTGCTTTGAGAGAGTTTAAGGGCGAGCAGAGACCGAGATCCGAGAGGGCGGGCTCAGCTTCAAACCCTGCATCAGAAACTCAGACCCTGGTTTTAACTTGTAGCGTCATGTGCTGCTGTCGGGCGGAGCGTTCACGGAGAAATGCTGCAAGATTAGAAGCCGCTGGAGTTATGGGAGGATGCCTCTATATTAGAGCAATATTGAACTCCAGATTTTAATTTAAAAAAAAGATGAATTTGCATGATCCAAATATCAGAAAGCAGTCCGAGCCGTTATCCTCTCAGCCTGTCAGTCAGGATAAATCCCCTCTTGTGCGCAGGCGCTCAAATCCACTGCAGCACCTTCAGCAGCACCAACAGGTTTACGCATGATGTAAACATGATTTTGCTCATAATGAAGTGATTCAGGATGATAATGACTTTGGTAAAATACCAACATCTATATTATTGGAAGTTAAGAACATTTATAAGACCAATCGAAATATTATTTTTAATGCAAAATGTTGGGAATGAAGAAAATGTAACTGCTAAGGGAGGATAAAAAGGTCTGTCTCTGCACGGAGGTCTGTGTCCAAGCATAGGGATGGAAAGATGAGCAGAATGTGGCGAAATAGCGCATCACAAACAGGGATAAAAGCAAGATCTGCCATCTCCTGTCTCTGCTAGTAGAGGTCAGGGTAACAACCATGTTATTACATTACTCTGCCTGCTTGGCAATCAAACTAGCCTGATCTGCAGTACATCCAATCAAGGATCTGGAGTATTTTTAAATGGAAGATAAGAGACACTAGACCCAAAACGTGTAGACCAGATGAAGGTCTGCCTGGTTTTCTATCAGGGCTGGAATAAATAATCGGATTAATCATGATGAGGCGATTATTGAAATAATCAACTGATATAGTAATCAATTAATCGTTAACTGGAGTATAGAGACTCTGAAACGTGTGTTTGGCTGACAAAGCAACCCATTTAGAGCAGTAATTATAAAAAAAATGGAAAACAAAATATAAACATTTTGCATTTAACATATATTAACCATTTTCGTCTTTCAATATGCTCTATTCAGAAATCCTCAAGTTCAAATGTTTTAGTTCCACCTGGTTTATTTAGTAAAAAGTCTTCTTTAAGGAACCTTTTGCTATCCGATTATTAATCAATTAATCGAAAATATAGTCGACAGATTACTCGATTTGCAAAAATGAACTTTATTTGAAGCCCTTATTTCTGTAACACCTAAGCAGGACATTCTGGTCTGAAAATACATGGACATTTTTGTTAGTAGGCCCTGAGTTAATATCCTTTCTTTTAAGGTTAATTTGGTATTTTAATTTTCTTGACAAATTATTGTTTTTTAAGAGCCTTACGTTATAATCACATATTTTCTTTTTTGAAAGGACTTGAATATGTCACTTTTTATGTAATGAATCTATATGAGGTCATCTTTCAACAAAACTCAGAGATAAGCTAACTTTTTCTTTACTTCATTTTTACATAGATGCACATATATTGCTGTGCTGTAAACAAACCAACATCCTCTTCCTCTATTGTATCCAAGCTGTGGCTGAGCCACCATCAAGGGATAATAGAGCATGCTGCAGAAATTGATATTCACGTGGGTTTTTATCTGTAGCCTACCACATGGCTCTCATTTGCAGCTTCATTGGTGCCAACTAAACTGTGGCAGTTAAAAACACAGTAGATCCGTTGTCTTGATAAGGTGTTAAAAAAAGTGTTTATAAGGTGTCAAGTGTGTATGCATGTTTAAAGGCCAGAGCAGCAGCCAGCTGCTCAGTGCAATACAGAATTTGGATGCCTTGATGCAGGCTCTGAGCCCCATATGTCAAAATAAAAGAAAGTTTAATTGATATTGAGATATTGAAAACAAACAGTTTGAAAAATGGTAAGCAACAGGGATGAGGATTAACTCAAGGCAGAGACAAATGAAGGGAAGTCTAAAGTCTAACTTACAGATTTAATGCCCCACCTTTTATAACCATTCATCATAAAGCATGTATGCACTAAATGATGGGGCCTCTACCTCTGCTGTGGCGCCTTCAGTAAGTTGAAAAGGTAAGGAGGCCTGTGAAAAACAAGCTGAATCTTTCATCAGTTCTCAATGGACAGAGATTAAATTTGTGTTTCTTTTCTCACATGCAGTAAAGGAACACACCGTTTTTTTTTATCTCTGCAGTTTCCTGGTAACAGACACCATCTGTATTTGCTCTGAAGGGGAAGATTTTTATGATCCTTTGTGTACAGAGAACATGCACTCGGCGAAGCAGCAATAATCAAGTCATGTGAGACACGTAAATTATTCTACCTCTCAGACCTATCCATTCCCTTTGGGAATTTTTTTCCCCATTTTGTCACGTTGCAAACACAAAGTTCGATGTATTTTATTGAGATGCTACGTGTATGCAATCACAAATCCAAACTTGGTGGAAATTCATCTAAAAAAACGGCTGTTGAAAGGAAACCACATAAGGTCCTGTTTGCTGTTAGTCACATGTAATTAGAGAGAGCGAGATCAATCATGTGGAAGAAACCATTTGGGTCAGATGAGACCACAACAGAACCATTTGGTCTGCTTGCTAAATGCTGCACTTTAACCTGAAAACACTCTGTGCTCTATGAATCCTGTAGGGCGGTGGGGAAATGAGATCTCTGTGGTTGATGGTTTCCTGTAAAGTTCTTAGCTACCTTTCAGTTGTACTCTTTCTACCTTTTATATGATGTTGTTTAAAGTAATTGCATGTAAGTGGACGTAAATACTCAGTTTAATGCTACTTCGTTTAAAGCGACTCTTAAGATTTTATCACTTTACATTAAAATAGTCCCTTGATCTTTTCACCCCATTTATTACATTTAAATCGTACTATTCATTTTATTGAAATTGTAGGCATTAAAGCAATACAAATTAACTGTGACGTGGAATGAACTGATGCACAGCTTTCATTTTTATTTTTTTTAACTTATAAAGCAACACTAAATAACAAAAGTTCATCTCAATACTTTGTTATATACCCTTTGTTGGCAATGACAGAGATCAAACGTTTTTTGTAAGTCTTCACAAGGTTTTCACACACTGTTGCTGGTATTTTGGCCCATTCCTCCATGCAGATCTCCTCTAGAGCGGTGATGTTCTGGGGCTGTCGCTGGGCAACACGGACTTTCAACTCCCTCCAAAGATTTTCTATGGGGGTGAGATCTGGAGACTTGCCAGGCCACTCCAGGACCTTGAAA